TATATATACTGTGTATATATATATATATATATATATATATATATATATATATATATATATATATATATATATATATATATAGGGTGGGAGAAAATATAGATTCTCCGATGCATCGCGATTCTCTCTTCAACAATTCTGAACATTTCAGAATCGATTCTGAGCTTTGTTTTTCCCCGCATATGGCACGTGTGTGTGCTAGAGACAATCGTGACGGGCTTCATTGCACAGAATATGCGCTGAGAGACACGTGTGCATTGTTTGACACTGTGTGCTTTCACCCACCGGCTAAATGCACTTGCATCTATGAATACTTTTATACGAAACTGATGTAAAAATAGTGAGTTATGTTTTCAGAACAGGACAAAACATCGGATATATCGAAATAGATCTGTGCATTAGTGTGAATGCAGCCCATCAAAGCTGTAATGTAAACGGCAATAATGCTGCGGAAAAAAGAAAAATATATATTGTCTGTAAGCTTTCGGATACTTAAAGAACACTTAATTCAAATAGGTAATTGTTTTACCCCTAATATATATATATATATATATAAAATATAATATAAAATAAATACACTGATAATGTAATAAATATAATACAATAAATCAATCAATTTCAACAATCCAAAACTGTTACTGTGATCCCTAAAATTAAAATAAATCAATTAAAATTAAAAAATGTAATGAATTAAAAATGTAATGCAATTATAATAAGATTGAATAAATAAATAATTAAACCAACCAACTTTGTAGTAACATTGATTCATTTCTGTCATGACCACTATCGTACAGTTTGGATTGGCTGTTGAAATAGATTCAAAGGGAATCAGAAGGCCGAATATTGACTGGACGAGAGGAGGAGCTGGGGATGGAGGAGGGTAATTAGCTATTGAGCAATGCAAAAGCTGCTGATAATACTGAGGGACCTTATATATGGGTGCTGTGATAGATGCCGCATCCCTATAGGTAGATGTGGATCAGCTGACACGAGCTTGACTAACGTGACCTGCCAGAACTAACGCTACGCTTGATTTCTGTTAATTTTCAACAGTCCAAAACTGTTACTGTAATCACACACATGATTTCAGACCAACATGATATCTACTGCTTTCATTCAACAGCCTTGCAAAGAAAATGTAAGAAGTTCTAAAAGAATCTAAAGGAGTCACAACGCAAATAGCTCCACCCACTGACACTGCTGTTGCCTGGATACCAACAGTCCAGGTATGACACTGTTATGGGTTTAAAAGCTCATCAGCCAATCAGACGTTACTGTTATAAATACATGGTAACGTTTTAAAAGTGGAGCCGAGAACAGGACTGAAAGCATAGGGCTCTCCAGGGTGACAAAGAATTTATGAACCAGAAGGTCAAAGTGTGCAGCTGACCCCTGAAGCTCAAAGGTCATGGGGAAGACTTCACATTGAAAAGAGACCTGATGCTCCACAAACTCGAACCCAGACACTTCACTTCATCACCCTCTGAGGCGCTCGGCTGACAGCAGTCCTGCATGGGAACTTTTACACGGTTACACCAGATAAAAAAACATGAAAATATCAGAGGAATCTGCTGACAAAGCTGCAAAATCAGCTCTCAGACACAAAACGTGTGGGAATTTCTATGTATAATTATTTTTTTAATAAATACATTTAAAATAATAAATAAATAAACAAACATTTAAAATGAATACATTTAAATAAACTATTCAAAATAA